CCCGACGAGGTCATTGGATTTTTCAATTGACCTAATTCTTCCAGCCGCACTATGGCCCCCGAGTCGACCCAGCCTCTAACAGAAATGAGTACCGGGAATCTTCCTGTGGTGTAAAGGACGCCCGGCGTGTAAGACTGACAACCTTACCGCCATCTGTGAGCCCCCCCCCGCCAAAAAAAATCCGTGCCTTTAGTCCACAAGCGAACTATACCGACCGAGCGACCGCCACTTGTCGGCGAAGTTATTGACAACTTTAATGGATAGAGGGTATCGCGTGGTCAGCGCAACGAATCCCCACGGCCGTTAATCTCGGTTTTATAGACCGGAGCCGCTATTTCCTTGAAATTACTCCTCAGTTATCCTCACGAGGCTGAGTGGACCCCGTTCCAGACCCACTACGTCTCAGAAAATCTAGTTGGGCCGGGAATCGAACCCGGGACCTCTGGATCTGTAACCAGGAGCTCTAACCACTAGACCACAGAGGCAGTCCATCTGTGTGCCGATTGTCTAGAAAATGTGGGAGCCTCGACGTCTCACAACTCTATGAGCCTGCACTGTCTGTTACAGGGATAGCTTTACCTTTTATTTCCATTAGATCTGTGACTTTGTCGTCTCGTTTTGTGACAGTTTTTGTTAGCGCTGCTCTCACAATATTTCGTTTGCCGCAGATGAATTCATGACGATTTTCCCTCTCACTTCCACACGATGTTCCAGTGGGCTTTTCTTCATGCAGTTGCATATACATTTACGAAGCGTATTACTACGCGATTCTGATGAACCCGTATACAATTCTTTGGCTGCGCAGTGCAGATGCGCACCTCATCACGCCCTTCTCAGCTGCCGACGCCTTCAATTTGACTTCGTTGTCACAATTAGAGCTGCGGAGGCTTGCTCAGTTCAGTTGAAGAGGGCAATACACTCTGACTCATCCACTTGTGTCTAAAACAGAGACTCGAAATGTTGGCTAGTGCACAGTCCTCCCAAACTGAGCGTTGCCGGTTCATGCACTGAAACCAAAACACCTGGGCGCAGTCATAATGTCTCATTTTAATGCGATGGCATCCGGTTCCAACTTTGTTGCTATCCTGAATACCTTTTCCAGCCTAATAGCGGGAGTATACCTTATAATAAGTCACAACAGCAACCTCCATTTTCAGTTCATCTTTTTTTTCTTAATTCGCATAGTGGGGGATGGAGTCCAACTGGGTCCACTCGGCACG